GTCACTTTAACAGACCAAGCATGGCTCTCAATGATAATTTTGGATATTAAAAGTGTACTTGTTTAGCTCAAACATAGGAAACATAAACAGGCTTTAAAAACAGATATTCGAGTCTATCATAGGGCCATTTTTTGATATGCTATGGGCTATGGATCCGAAATAGAAAAATACCTCTTTTGATTTTTCCTCTTTGGTAAATCTTCCAAATTTCTCTATCATTTCAGCCACAAATATGACATCCATCTTGTCAGAAAAGTTGGCCGCCTCCACGGTATAGGCCAGTAATTGTCGGGCTGTGGCCACAGCGTTGGTGAGATTGAGGGGCATCTACATTCAAAACGCAAAAAGCACTTAGCAAATGGATCCTCAGAATGTTGACGTTGTGTCTTTGCATGGGAAACCACTGCAATGAATTCAAACTTTATCATTATTCACAAGGATCTTCTTAAAATGCTTTTTCAAACCCAAGGAAAATAAAATTTGAATGGAAACTAACCTGAGGGGAATTTTTTAAAACTTGGAATGGAATATAATAATACATAAAACCACATCAGGTAAACAAGCTGCACCATTTCTTCCTCTCTACCCATCCAAACTTTAGACTCAATCCCAACTGCTTTGTAAAGCTGTTCCTGAGGATTCCAGCTGGGAAGGATCAATAACTCCCTTGGACAGGAGTGTGAACCACTTATTTTGCACTTATCTGTATTGCCATGCACTGTCAATCATGTTTTACTTGTGTTTATTTATGGACTTAAACACGATTACGCACCAGCCATTGCAAAAAGGATATACTAGGTGCTAAGGATCACAATAGAATATGTAACACAGAAACGATCATCCAGCTGCTTATAAGCTGGTACAGTTTATAAAAGACGCATAGAAGCAAAGATAGAAAAAGGCATCTGATTATTACAAGTACGACAAGGGATCACTTGTGACAAAGAAATTATAAAAGGAACCCAAGAGGTGGCTTCCCAGATGGATGTGAACGATGGTTGAGATTTTGTCTGGTGGATAACAGATGATAAAGGTATTCAAACAAAGGCACAAAGGCAGGCAGTGACAGGAAAAAAAGAGTAGCACCACCCAGAGGGCCTGCATACCAGCTGAGAAGACTGGGCCTTATTCCAGAGACAGATCCGCCAACTAAAGTGTAAACACCAAATCCTTATGCTTTACTAATGTTTAAAAAAAGATACTGTGTATTTGGTTTAAATACCATGTTTTATTAACGATCTCAGCACAGTTGAAGCCTTTCCAGTTACCTGATTAAACATGTAAAGAACTCTAGTGACATCATTTGCATACTGGCAGCGAGAGTAGTCGTCATCTGCCCAAAAGCCACCTCTGTCACATCTGCGCCAAGCCTTTCGCTCATCCTGTGGGTTTCCAGGATAGATCCCACTGCCGTGCGTGTTCCGAGTACACTGCAGATAGGCAGTAATGCCTGCCAACGTTCTGGGCCACCTAGAGAGATGAGAACAAAACAGTATAAGGAAGCCTACTCCAATGCAAATAANGGAACAGATAAACTGATTATTATTTGCTGGCGACAATGGTGACATCTGTGTGTCTAGAAAAATCCCACATAAACAACTACAAAATTAAATTATATGGATGAATTCCATAAAGTAACCAGATACAAGGTCTACATTAAAAAATAAAACATAATCAAGGAAAACTGAACATGGACTAGATATCTGATAATATAAAGAGCTTAGAGCTCATTTTGGTCATATAATAACAGTATCATAATTCTATTTTGAAGTTCCTTATATTTTGGAAAAATTATAGATAAAATGGTATCTAGAGTTTACTATTAAACGTTCCAGCATTAAGAAAGAAAGGAAGAAAGAAAGAGAGAGAGAGACAGAGAGAGAGGGAGAGAGAGAGAGAGAGAGAGAGAGAAAGAAAGAAAGAAAGAAAGAAAGAAAGAAAGAGAGAGAGAGAGACAGAGAGAGAGAAAGGAAGGAAGAAAAAGAAGGAAAGAGAGAGAGGGAGGCAGAAAGAGGAATGGAGAGGAAAAAAGGAGGGAGGGATGGAGGACAAAGGAGATATGTGGATCAATGAGACAAGACTGGTAAATACTGAAAACTGTTGAAGGTGAAAGGTAAACATAGGTATTAATGAGAACATTCTCTCTCCTATACTTTTGGAATTTTCTAATAAAAAAAGTTTCTAGAAAGGTTTCAAAAAGTTAAACTCAAAAGAAAAAACATTAAAGCAAGGTAAATATAGATCATGACGACATCATTGTGGTTCTCAAAGTCTGTGCCTTTCTCAAAGAATATGTCACCCCAGCATTACCCAGAACTTACTAGAAAACCATTCTTAGACCCCACCACAAACTGTTTAACAAACCCTCCAGGTGATGTGAACGCATGCTCAAGTTTGAGAAACTGTGTTTTAGAAAGATCACAAAGCCAGAAGCTGGGTCTTTGAAAAGCTGAAAAATACAGAAAAGTACGACAAGTAAGATCAAGAAGAAAAAAAAAAAAAATCAGAAATACTGAAAACAAAAATGAAACGCAAGTACCAACAGAGAAATGATTACATTTTAAAATGAGTAAGTGAAAGAACTTTTAGAGTTTTTATAAATCTGTACATAAAAATGTGCCAAATGTGCCAAATGAATTCTGTTGTAAACTAGTGTGAAGGTGCCTGTCTGACTTACATACTGAAAACCAGGGCAGAATGAAGGGACTAGAACACGCAGCCAAATCTAATCTTTATATACTTCCTCATTCTCTGAAATACATACATATTGTCTTCCTAAGAGAAATCACTCTCGTAAATATGGAACAGATGCTTATGTTGCCTAACAGACAACTTTCAGCTGTTTTTAAAAGACCCCACTAAACACACCATTTAGATCGGACGGTTTGATAGCTTTTAGCGCCCACCCTAAGACAGCGGGGTACCAGCTTATGTTGGCCAGGTTCAATCACGGGTTAAAAGGCCAGCTGCCTCACCATATTTCACTTATGAAATTATCCATGGCAAAGCAACTGTTTGGACAGCAAACAAAAATCAATTTCATTATTTGTCCAATGAAGCTGCATGCCTTTTAGGTTACCTGAGAGTAATTTTATGCTGTAGTAATCAACTTAAAAAGATGGACACCTTTAACCGTCCTGATTTCCTTTTATTGTACTAATAAACGGTAGAAGCTATAGCCTTCAGTTTAACTTTCCAAAGAATCAGTCAGTTCAGATGTCTGTCACAATGTCACAAGTAACATTACGCTTATACTTCAGTTATTCAATCCTGAATATTTTCCCTCTGCTTTTCCTATTTATACTTAATAAGTTGCCGTCATTTGTTTCCAAAGATAATTCATACTTTACCTCCTATGTCAGCCAGTGAAACTGATAGCCATCAACTTCAAACGAAGTTTTTAGAGAACTAAAGCACTCTGACGATTTTTTAAAAGACCTTCTTAGCTTCTGAGATCACGAGAATGTTAAATTTCCTAACCCTATAAAGTTACATCCTAGCATTACAACTATTCCGCAAACTAGCTTCACTCGTGCGCAAAAATTTCGCAGGTAAAACAGGGCAAGAGGCAATCCCATGGTTAATAACAACTCACGAAACGAAGCCTACTTCCAGTCCTCCCCCTCAGCACCTACCAAAGCAGCAGACCATTCATCCCACACGCTGGCAAAGCAGTGAAATCTGCATCCCTGGGGACCCCACTGCTCTTCACGAGCTGGGAGGTGAGCAACCGTCCTTTACTTCAAAACAGGGAGGCATGGAAATAACTATGTATTATGTGATGGCAAGATCTTTTTCAATGCCCACATTCCAAATGTCATTCCAATTACTCCAGTGACTCAAAACATCCCACTTCCACGAGTGACTTGTAATCATGTGGGCAGCTAACCTGTGGTTATAATCAACAATGGAGAGCAGAGTTACCGCAGAGCCAGAGTCCAGGCGGCTTCTCCCAGTGCTGAGAAAACTTACCACAGGAAGCCGGCTGCGGCCCAGAGACACAGCCAAAAGGCAAGACAGTTCACTGGAAAACTGAAGTTCAGATAACAACGCTGAAATGTTATCTCGTTGTCACGTGGTGTGTTTCCCTGACTCCCATTTACAAACGTGTCTATTTTTCTTCCTTTAATAGCTACCACCGAACAAGTCAAACGCTAGGGCTGCAATTCCAAAACGTATCACCAAAATGCAACATAGAAACAGATAGTATACCAACAAAAAAGTATCCTCGCTTATATGAATCAGGGTACCTGAGCATAGGGAAACAGGCATATGATTTGCCTTGTAGCGTATTCACGCATCTGAGATGTCCTACATACTAGCCTTTGTTTTTAAGCACAGTATTTTCCCCACAGTTGAATAAAAAGTACTTTTGGAATGTCACAACATGGTGACATTGTAAAAGAAATGTGGTTCTGCAGAAAATTCTTCCGGACTAGACGCCATGTGTCTAGTTTCCGGTTTCAGCCCTGTCCTAAGCAAGCTTTATAACCTTGCATAAATCATTTAATTATCTTTGGCTTCAGTTTATGACTTGGTCTAGTTTCTTCTACCTCTAAAATGTATTTTTGTATGAATATATCACAAAAGAAACAGTATATATAAAGTTCTCACATAGCTCAAAGAACATGTTAATCTGAGTCTTAAAACTTATTCAAAAGAGTTGCTGCTAATTCATTATGAAAACTGCTGCTGTCAATGTTATTCCTCACTGGACAGCGTGCTGACCAGCACATCATAGTTTTCACATGACCCTGTTAAAATACACTCCTTTTCAAAGTCACTACATTTTCATAACTTGTGTATTCCAATCATTTAGAATTTCAAAAAGGTTCCTAAAACAGTGTTTTATTTCTCCAAGATATTACGAAGGGAATGATGCAATTTAACCACGATCTGGGTGACTAAAACTCACATTAAAAAAAAAA